TATTATTATATATATGACCTACTTATTAGAGTTTTATTAATGAATACACTTTATTTAGAACTTCATTAGATTCACAACACTAATTTTATTTTTTAATCTATAAAATATAAAAAATACTATGTTACAATAAAACATTTAAATTTAATATTCACGTTAACGTAAATATCGTACTTTATTGATAATAATACCTACTATATAAATATCTTAAAAATTAATATTCGTTTACATTGCTTTTATTATTTTTTATTCATATTCAAAATAATCTTTTATTAGGTAATTACATTGTGTTTCATATTTATTTATAAATGCATTAACACATTTTTTTTAGTAATCGTGTCTTACTCTAAAATACGTTTAAATATCTCTTAATGTAGTGAGTAAAATCACGATATTGTTAATTTCATATTTCATTACACTTTTAGAGTTGTTTAGGTCCTAATTTACGGTGTTAACGTGATATTACCAATGTACCTATCATTTATTTTCTCCATGATTTTATGCTTCGTATATAAAATATATAATATGTATATAGGCCTATTATTGTATACATATACAAAATATTGTGGTTGTAAAAATTATTACTTCTATAGTTGAGGAAATATTATTATACTAAAATAGCAGCTCGCGTATATATAATATAAATAAATACATATAATATAAATTAATTATAATATATATATATATATATATATTGAATTAAACAGTAAACACCAGTATCGCAGCAGCAGCAGTTTCTTACCAGATTCCACACAGAGACGCATTTCCACCACCAGTTGGATCCTAGATTGCCCCACGTGGGATGATCAACCCCGTTCAGATCCAACACAAACAGCCCATAATACGACACGTACACGTAATAGGACGTGATGAATAAACGGGACACCTTGAACAGATGCTGGCGCTCCGCTTCTGTGTACGACCAACAGCGCAACGCGGAAGTAACGACAGCCGTGGACCGCTTCGATGACGACAACGACGACGACGCTTCCATCGTTGAGTATCGTGATGGTAACGCCATATATGTATATATTATAAATGTATATAATAATAAATTATATTATTATTATACGTTACGATAACCGCAGTGTACGATGACAGTGACGATATAGTTCGGGACCCGCGTCGGTCGGCCGCAGCGGGTGCTAAGGTATAATATTAGGTAGGTAGTAGGTACTGCTACAAATCCTGCTACGCCGCTGTCAGACACTTGCGGCAGAACGCCACTGACCGTTCTACGAAAGAATCACGCGTTGTGAACCTATTATATATAACAATATATATATGTCCATAAAACAGTAATAATAATAATAATATTTGTATTGTATGTGAATTGTATTTTGTTATATATTATTATTATAGTGTACAGTGGTAAGCGAGTAAGCGCAAGAATCGCGCAAAACGTTACATTACGCGCGCATATAACGCGCATCATGCAAGTCCCGCGAGCACTACTCCCACCACCGTCGCCGGATCACTATACGTATATGCAATAACAACACTTTATACACACGAGCACTCGGACAATACGATTTTTCGTCTATTATATTATGGACTATTAATTATTAAATATTATACAGAGTGATTCATCGAGCAATGAACTTGCTCCCCCCTATATCTTCCATTAATAATGAATTTATTCAAATTCTAGTTTTTTGAATTTTCATATATACTTAACGATCAACCATAATATTATTTTAAAATTCTTGATATGTTTTTGTACTGCTTAAAATTAAGTCTATCTTATGGCGATACAAGCTTCTGTTTTTTCAAATGAGAACCCCGTTTTGTTACTTATAAATTATTTAGTGCCTAGTGGCTAGTGTGTATATATACCTAATTCAAAATTCAATAAAGTAAACTTTCAGTTACTAAAATGTTTATACTATAATAGTCCTCTATAAAACGATTTTACAAAAATATCAAATAGAATAGATGAAACGACGGATCTAGTATTTATTTACTTGGGTCATTTTAAAAAATCATTATATAAAAATATAGGCGTAAGGGCGCATGTAAATTCCGCCCGAAAATGGTAAATTCCGCCCAAAATAAAATACAGGTAAAATAAGGTACATGTAAATTTCGCCCGAAAAAAATTCAGGTAAAAAA